GTATTATTTTTGTAAACAGTCCCTAGTTGTTGTGTTAATGACAAACAAATAAAACAGATGAGATTAAAGTTCATTGACTGGTACAGGTATGGATCAGGGGTGTGCTCATGATCTGTATAATCATGATAATTGCAATAATACAGCCTGGGAGAAGGAGTTAGTTCAACAAGATGTCTGTTATTAAATTACCCGTCACTTCACCATAATGTAATCCAAATAATAATCACCGCCCTTAACCCGACCTTTACTGCACGTGCAAATAACCAAGCAGCTGGATTGGTTGAATTCCTGTACCACGTGATGTTTACCAAGCATCTAATTGGCTCCCAGACATCGGTAACTGCTCTGATTGGTATCACTGACCGCTGCTTGAACCCTGGCGATGCCGTCTCTCCGTTAATGAAATTAATCCTTTAACAGGATCTAATTCGGCTGTGCAAATAAATTAAAGGATTTAATTAGGACGATTCAAGTGGATTAGGTAAATTAAACCACCAGGTCACGGCCCGACTATCGCCGGTATCACCGTCGTCTGTCAGATATTTGCTTATATTCAACCCACTGCTTTGCTCCTAATCATTAAGGATTAGTCTCACAGTTTACCGGTCAACATTAAATCATTTTCCGTTCATTTTGATATTTGTCAAATTTGTTTGCTTCAGGTGTTTAAATTTAATACAATAATGACTTGAAATAAGTCGTTGCTTTTATAATGATTAATTTCGTTGTGATTATGATTTAGGGATGATGTTTCAATTGATTGTCCTCTTTCTCAATAGGTAAACAGTAGTGGTAGGAAACCTCATCGCGAGATGGAAGGAACAAAATTCAAAGTCATTGGTTTATATGATCAGCTCTGCAAGGTTAGAGAACAAAGAAATGTTGACACCGCCGCTTACATACAGGGTCACCATCATAAAAGCCTCCCAATTTCTTGGCATTCATATTTCGCAACCCTGTTCGATAATGCCTTGAAATGTTATTGTGATTAATTGTGAAACATACTTTTTCGTTAAAGCATTGAATTGCAGGATCATTCTGATTTTTATTGGTTAACACATACGAGAACCTCCATCTTCTTCTCATAGATTTCCCCGGCATCCTCTTCCTTGAGGATTGCCACACCCCAGAGGCAGGCAGAGCATCTTCATGATATCATTTTATTGGCCAGCTAGGTCCAGCCTCTTGTTGTAATTTATTTATTAATTATTTATCATTGTTAGGCAAATTTCCAGTTATCGCAAGAGTTGTCTCACTTGTTCAGAACACCTCCCTTAAAACATATCATATTGTTTAGAATCAGAGAACTTTAATGATGCCACTAAGTTGCGACCTATAACATTACATCTCAATTTTAGAATTTAATAAATATTAAGCTAAAGCGCTGTACCTATACCTACAGTATACATATATATATCACGCAATGTCCATTGCGTGGTTAGATAGATTGATATATTATAGTATATAATTATGTTGTTTCGTTAATAAGTCTGTGGAGTAGTAGCAAGAAGGTATCGTATACATTTTAATTTGTTCTCTTGATTATTTACTAATGATTCAAATCCTGTATTGTATGTAGGGTCGTCAACATGTAATTATGGTTTTACCACTACACCGTGTTTTGGTTCAGCCGAAATAAATTTTACTATGATGTTTACATAATGTTTCTCACTCCAGCTGCAGTCTGGTAGTGTTGAGTCTCAGGAATATTTTTCTAGCTCTCATTTTCCAAGTTTTTGCCTCACAGGAGATATTGTGGTCTTTTCTAAATATAGCTGTAATACATTGATGTAAAGTTTATTCGAATTTTGAAATAAAAATTAACTTTAAGGCCTATAAGGGAGAACTGCAGTATCAATATGTTGATTGTTGTGTTGTATATTTCGACATTAATGTCTAAGGGAGAACTGTGGTACTAATGCGTTGCGTTGTTTATGTTTATATTAACGGTATTAACAAGTTCTATTTTTCTTATAGTAAATGTTTAAAATTACATTTTGTGAAGAACAAATTTTACACTCAGCAGAGTAGTTGAAATTTGTAAAATCTGCGGAGAAATTTTGGAGAAAATTTGGTGCCAAATAAATTTTTAGAAGACCTGACGTTTTTTAATTTTTTTAGAGCATAAGAAAATATTCAAGGCAAAAACACTGATCTGCGAAGAAATTTAACACTTTCTGGGAGGGGTCGTTTTTTTTCATTCGTCTGACCTAATGTCTGCAATCTTGTACAAATCATGCATCCATTTTTATAATTTTGACCCTTCCCCTTATCTACCGAGTACAGACTATGACGTCACTTTAACTTTTAAGTGCACCTAAGTGTGCCTCACTTTCAATTTCCCACGCATTTACCTGTATAATGTCCTAAATTATCATTGTGCCCCCGAACTCCTTATCTACGAACTATGACGACATAATAATCTTGAAGGCCACCTAGCTGTACCTCACTTTCCCACGCAGTTACATCTTTAATGTCCTGGCCTCTACCATCCTACTATGTACCGTACTAAAAAAGCTGCCTCCCGGAAACCGTCCCTTGAGTAACGTGAACTGCTAAACTTACTTTTAATTTTACGAGAATATTTCTCATGCCCCCGTGCTTTTAAGCGGCTGATATGGGCTCAATTATCTGCTTCCCTAATTTCACAAATTACTAATACGGACCTCCTTTAATTACGGAGTGCTCCTTCATAAATTAGTTCCCACTAACTGCTATCATGGGCAGGTACTTAGACACGTGGAGGACAACACACTTTTAAATAAATTGTATTTAGACTAAACAACCTTCAATGTAGGAGCGTCATTTAAGCGACCGTCTCTAACGTTAGACAGCGAGTATAGAACTGCTTGTAAGTGTGTTGTTGAAGTGTGGTGAGTGGAGGTTTTGTGGTGAGACACTTAACCAAAAGCTGCTTTTGGTTAAGTGCTGAAAAGCAGTGATATTGCGCTGAGGGTAAAATTCCAGTACATTTTCATCTGGAGGCTAAGATTTTAATTAAATTGACCCTATGAGATAGGTATGTACAGTTACAAAGATTCGTTTGAAACTGTATGAAACAAAGTGTATCATTTTATGAAAAGTTGTAAGAATATGGTCAACAGTTATTGGTTATTGGTTAAATAGTTACGTAATCATGAGTAATAATCAAACAATAGCGCTTGAAAATGCGAATGATCAACTAATAGTGATTAGGTTACTGATAACCTATTATTGTTGTTGTAATTGTAATAAGATTATTATGCGGACTTCGGAAAACCGAAAAAATATTTTCGGCTAATAATGGACAGGGTATAGCATGAAACGTGGAGAAAAGTTGTTTCGAGAAAAACATTTTTTTTAAAAGAGTTCGGGAAACCGAAGAGCCAAACCCCCACTCCCTAGTATTGCTCTTAATTTATTTACGTTTTGGCTCCGAGTAAGTTTTGTGCAGACTGCAAACTACTGTCTAGTAAAAACGATCCAGTGATAAAAAACCGTTTTGTTTGGCTGCAAAACCATGAAAACCAAAGTTACGTGATAAGTTTAAGGCGAGCGGATTAGTAATAGCCAATTTTTTTAGGGACAAGATTATTGTATTTTTACTAATTTTTAAAAGTTATTCTACTATCCTATGTTTTTTAAACGCGCATGTCGATCTTATCTCATTGTACACAGCGATACCAAGTTGAAGTACACAAATCTGATAGGGTCAATAGTGCGATTCAATGCCCACCGCACTTCTGTTGCCCACCGCACTTCTGTTGCCCACCGCACTTCTGTTGCCTCTGTTTTTATCAAACTTTGGCATCGATTAAAGAGCTTATACTATTTTGTCTTCATCCTGAACATTTTGGTTTACACAACTCTATGGATAAAAAGGGCATTGGCTGTCACTTCTCAGTTGCATTCTTCTCTATAAATATCCTATTTTTATTAATTGTTATAACCCTGATCAATTTAAATCCGTTAATAATTGTCAGGACCCGCTTTATGCTGTGCTTTGGTTCATTTGTCAGTTTGTATGACGTGATGGCTTAAATAGAGTATTAGAGTTACCCACGTTTCTTGAACCTACTTAATTTTAATCATAATGTGTATTTCAGTATTGCTTATTGATGTGATGCATCAATTATCTCTTATCTGGTCAGTGCACACTGCACCTATTATGTTTTATGTTTTTACTTCAAATATAAACAATGATATAGGGAGTATCGAACCGGTTAAAACGGCCAAAGCAGTCAACCTATCATTAAAACTTTTACTTACCAACATGATCGATATAAATGAACTCTTTATGTTTAGCAGCTTCTTACATCAAATATTTGTCAATAAATCATAAAACGGCAATTGAAGGTTTCTGACGAACCGGACCAAATCATCTAATGCACAATTTATCTTACTGCTAAATGTTGTTTCATCTTAAAATGGTGCTGAAATTCGCAGAACTGACCTTCATTACCTGTATTACTGCAACTGATCGACGAGTGTTTATATGGTCTAGGTAGATTGACAGGACTGGACTGGACAACCAGACAAAAACGATTGTATAATATTCCTTCCAGATAAACGATCTTACAGTTTTTAAACGGACGAATAAATGCTTGTCAATATCGCCAAACGAACATATTTTAAACTGCCCGAAACAAATGCGTGGACACGTGATCACACCCCTTTTCGGCACGTGAACCCCTTTTGCAGATAGTCAATCAGGAGAACATGGTGGCTTAATCTCATCACTCTGCGCTAACCAGTGCAGATAATTTATTTTAGCTCAAGTACATTGTCTTTTTTAGGAAGTGGCAATGAACTATTATTCGGCTGACATTTTACTGGGTGACTTCATCAATATTTAGTAGCATAACAGAGACTTGAAGGACTTGTGAATTAAATGGTCCTGTACTTCGGTAGTAATATATTTGATACTCATTACATATAACTCACGTGCCTGATCACCTGATTAAAACACGTGGGGCCACCTCATGTTTGCCTTTCTGAACCAACATAAGTCGCGTAAGTCGTAACAAATAATTTGAGGACAACATGACACTACAAAACTTTGAACATAATACGAGGAAATATGGACAGAACTGAACAAGAACAAAAACCACATTCATAGACTGAGGAATCAGGAGGACTCTGCAACCCAGGAATCAACTACTTAGCTATCATCGCTCAATAATCGGTTTGGTATCGATGTAACATGCTTGATTTTCCGACTTTAAAGCTGACTAAAGAAACTAGGGAATTAATCAATTATTGTAACTGCAGTTTTACAGAACTCTAAATGCTTAATGAATACACTTGCAGGTACCACCCGTATTCACAATCAGAATCGAGTTTAGTCATTTTCCAATACGAGATTGGGGACGGGTTCTATAAACAAACAAACAATAAGATCGTTATTTTTGAAAAGTTACTTATGGTAAATTTGTGGTTCGTAATTCATGACCTGTCATCAAGGCTTCTTCCCTTAGACAAATTTAAATTGAACACTCAACAATTTAGAATATGGCATTAAAATACTACTTAACTTAAACATTTGTAAAACTTACACAATCTTCATTTATTTCATTTCCTCGCCGCATTTAAATCGAATTAAAAGTTTAAGGTGTAACGAACAACGATTTGAATCAAGCAGTTAAAATACCATTATCTTTGATTATGCGGATTGCAAAGTTGATAGTGATTAATCTATAATATTTTCAGTATCATTTTAGATTATCGTTGCTTTACTTAATATTATAGATTGGATAGGCAGTACAACTCACTTAATGTTAATTCTGATCGTAGCACGTGGTGTCGCACAATATATTCATTATTTAATCAATATTCTACTCATTATTTTGTTATCAAATCTTTGCGTTGCGCCACGTACTGCAGTTTATCAGGCGGAATTCCTTTTTAATTCACTTTTGAATAAATATCTCTCTGAGAAAATTGACTCCAGACTTAGAGTTCACACTTTTGCGATAATTGGTTGACTAAGGCTTGATATGAAGTGCTGAAAGATATCGTTATCTAGCATTGGTCAGCTCAGTCATGTTGCTCCGAAACTAAGCGGCCATTTTACACGTTCACCCATAGTAGTCCATATTACAAACATTACTCATATATTGATCCTGTACCTAGCAACAATATTAGCCTATAGCACCTTTTCAGATAAGGCCATAATTCGCTTCAATGCAAAGTTTTAGTGATATTCTTTTTCAAAAAATGATACCTTAATGATACAGATGATCGAAATGTTGTATTCCAAGCTTTTTTAATCAGTACCCAAATTAGACCTCATAAAGTGGGCCTTAAGTCAAATCTCCACTTTCCAAACCATCTGATGGTCGGGGAAGCAAGAAATATCGTGAAATAACTTCATTACACATGTACTTTGAGTAAAGAATTAATTTTGGGATTTTAGAGCTGTAGCCGTGTAACACTATAACCGTGTAACTGTAACACTGTAACCACCTGCATTAATCACGACTCAACAACCTGCTTCATTTGAGCTAAAATATTGCATACACTTTTGAGTGCTAATTTTCCCCCAAAAATTGTCAACCACTGAGCTCATATATCGATTTAAAATGTTAAGAGATAAACTGGTTATTCTGGTAGCATATTGACCACGTGACTAGATAAGTAGTGTCCAGGTGATTGTATCGTAACTCATTTCCCTCCTTCACAAAACATATCAACTAATGCTCCCTAGTATTACCTAACTTTTACTCTTTTGTCTTTTCCAATAATATTTGGATAATCTTTTTGATCTCTCGGCTCCCCCTTCCGGTTCTGTAGATCCGACCATGATCTGTCCAGCTTAGTCACCTCCCACGTGCATATGTCGCAGATATGGGGTATCTAGTATCAGGTTATTTCACACGTGCACACGTGCACACGTGCACACGTCACAGATATCAGGTATTTCGTACCAAGTTAGTTCACACCGGTCACCCACGTTACTTTACAAGTCGCAGATCTAAGATGGCAAGTACGTACGGTACGTACCTTTAAAAATAGCTGTACGGTACGTACTTTTAAACTTGGGCTGAAAGGTACAATGCTTGCATGATTGCAAAAAGATGCACAAAAACCACGTTCACACGACAACTTTCATGGAAGCTGAATTCGCTCATCGCTGCATTTCAATTTATACCATTAGATTTAGAGCAGTTGTACAAGAATGTTCCAGAAGCAAGAAGGGTTGGACCATGTGACATTGGATTTGGCGCTTTGAATTATGTTGGTTGAAAAAGTTGGCAGATGTTGTTTACGCGATTTTTAGCGCATCCTCATTAATGTGTGAAACAAACTTTAGAGAGTACGAATATCTTATTATATGAATATCTTATTATATGAATAAAAGAAGTCTGAGGCTGAAGCCTCAGCTTGCTGAAAAACTAGTGTTTATTTACTCCAATAAGCACATTAAAATGTGATACTGATTTTATCTGTCACTGTTCATTTTTATCTCTCACTGTTAATTTACTATCTTAATAATTCATGTTCCTCTTCGACTACTACCTCAAATAAAATTATGAGATTACAAAAGGAACATTGCAAGTACTCCACTAACTTTGAAAAAAGTTTCATTTTTTTCCCAAAAAAGTCTGTACCCTATAGGGCCTGTACGGTACGTACCTTTAAAAGTAGCTGTACCGTACGTACTTAAAGCCCTGTACCGTACGTACTTGCCATCTTAGTCGCAGATATCAAGTATTTCGCACCAGGTTACTTTACACGTTGTAGATATCAGGTATCTACTACAGATATCAGGTATCTACTACCAGGTTACTTTACTCGTCGTAGATATCAGGTATCCAATACCAGGTTACTTTACACGTCGCAGATATCAGGTATTTACTACCAGGTTACTTTGCACGTCGTAGATATCAGGTATCTACTACCAGGTTACTTTGCACGTCGCAGATATCAGGTATCCAATACCAGGTTACTTTGCACTGCGCAGATATCAGGTATTTACTACCAGTCTACTTTGCACGTCGCAGATATCAGGTATCCAATACCAGGTTACTTTGCACGTCGCAGGTATCAGGTATCCAATACCAGGTTACTTTGCACGTCGCAGATATCAGGTATTTACTACCAGGTTACTTTACCACAGCTCTGATATTGAATGGCAATCAGCTATAACAGGAGCTGATCACCTGCTCTTAGTCTGGTATAATGTTTAATTTCATACAATAACAATAGTTGTATGCTATTGATTATTATCGTGTTTAGTTAATATAAAGCTCGCTATAGCCCGCTATAACAAGCAGTGATGATAAATGTTGTAGGGTATTGCTCGTCACGTGACCTAAAGTTCGCCTCTTGATACCAAATCAATCTAATGGAGATTACGACGTTTATTATAGTAAAGCTGTGGCCCAGCTTGTACCGCGTCTCTTAATAGCGATATGCCGCAGTTTTTAGGTGCCATTAACATATTTATGACAATAAGTCTTATATATTATAATCCCGCCTAATTATTATTAGTAGAGATTAGTATAGATTTGAGCAGCTCTAGTTAGGTAGATATATTGTGAGGCTATCTTGTTAGGGGCTCCAGTCAGGGGCCCGTAACAAGGCCCCCAACAAGCATTAGATTTAGTACCGGACTATTTCCACGTCGTCATACTCTGATTAACTATTGTCCGATCTACAACACTAAGATGCATGATCCGTATCGCGTTTTCAATGTCATCAATCAGTCCAATTATTATTTTATCTCCGTTTTGTTTAAAACTGGAGACAGTCAGACGGGTCGTTTAGCCGATCCAGGCACCTGGCATATCCAACCAATCAAGTGCTATGTCATAGATCACGTGACATAATTCACCCAACCAGAGGTCTTGTTCTGACCACGTGACTACGACCTCTGGATCTTTCCCGATGTTGGGTGCTTCGTCGCGACGGCTTCATTTCACTGCCCCACTAAAAGACCTGAGTATCTGATCTCGGTCTTCGGCTACTCGGTTATCTCTTTTTTTGTATCAAACCACAGCTGGTATTATGTATCTCGTTATCTAATGACCAGGTCCTCAGTACTCTATCAAATAAATAGCTTTTAACCATCTTTATTTTCATTTCTGCGTATTAACTTGCGTATCACGTTTGAGTAGCCACTTTTACTGTCATTGTAATTATCTATCACAACAAATGGACCATTTCAATCTTACTTCAAATTAAATCGACTCTTTGGGTTAATGATGAGCATGCAAAATTTCAAATAATGCGATCTCTGATAATCGATTTTTATTCTAAATGTTATTTTATAACTGTAAATCGCGAAGCTGAACCATTTAGACATTTGGAAATCATTTTCATTACGGTCCATGATTTTATGAACCTCGCCGATTCTCCAACAAGATTAATTCCAATTTTCACGTTTCTAATGCTAATTGCTAGGTTTAAAATATCATCATACAATTTACACTTCGCGAACGATTTCAATGCAAAGTTTGGAAACCTATTGTATATAATCTAAAGGGAATTAGAGCTTCATTGGCCGAGCCTCGCGGAGCATGGCGGAATCCATACAGCTGAACTTTAATCCTACCCACATATGTGCGGAAAAATTTGCGTGGAGCATCACACTGACCGGAACTACATGGAAATTCGAATTTGTATCATATTATCGGCGGGTACTACCAACAAGCGGCATGAGTAGGAACAAGTACCAACAGTAGGGAAAGGGACCGAATTAAGATTACAGAGCATGGGGGCGTCTCACGCGACCACCCCCCAACCGCTCACTGCAGCTCCAATTACTTCTTATCTCGGGTTAATGAGGATTAATGCCGATAAGAATTCACTAGCGGAGGCAGTGCTTTGTGCTTCGACTGATAAGGCCGTGAAATAGGATCTTCTCCTGTTTAATTCCCTTTTCAATTCGATTATAATTGCGGGTAGGTACGTCATGAGTGGGCATATGTTGTGGTGCGGGTGATAAGTTTCTCTGTACTTCTGGAACCATCTGTAGATATGTCCCTGATTCCCAGTGACCAGTCCCCAGCCCTACTCACTGATTAGACATTACCA